AAAAAATCTGACAGAAAAATTTAAATAGAAATTTGAAATCTATTAACTTTTTGTTATTGAATATCCAATAGAATCAGCGCAAAAAACAAATAGAATTTTTCAATAGAATTCCAATAGAAATCCTATAGAAATCCCATAAAATTCCTATAGAATTTTCTGGCGAATTCGCTAGGTTTTCTATTGAATTTTTTCATGCGTGCATGCATACCAGTTTGACGTTGGAAAAAATACTCGCAATAATGAGTAACGGAAGGGACGACTTTATCTGGTCAGGTTTTCCCCTAACTTAGGGTATCCTCCAACCTTTAGCAAATGCAATACAGGAGGTTGGAAAGAGTTTCGATGGGGGGCGAGAAAGACGCAAGTAGCAAAAATGGGGAGAAATATCCGAGAGAAAGAAATTTATTATGCTGAAACCATTCGGAAGCATACCATCAATTTATTGATGGCGAAGAAAGCATTGAAACATCACTCAGTGACATGCTCACGATCACATGCTCACTGCATCCTGTTTGTTTCCTCACCTGATGTCTCGATTTTTTTGTGAAAAGGAAAATTAGTGATCACATCACAATCGATTAATACGTACGCAATCGAAATGCGCAATCGATTATCATAACCATCAAAGAAACAAATCGATTCCCTTTTTTCTCGTCTCGATAGTTGAAAATGGAAATCAAATGATAAAAAAGCCTTGCTCTTTTTTTTAATCATTAGAGATCGATTCATACGCAAAAAATCGATTCACTTTTTCTCGATAGCTGAAAATCGAAAACAAGAGACAAAAGCCTTGCTCTTTTAATCATAAGGATAATAGTATAATGCTGGATGGTGGGAACGAGAAATATGATTTCTCTTTCCTGTTACCCAGACACTGGTCAGTAATCCCACGGTGTCATTTGGACACCGTGGTAAGCAGTCCCACGGTTTTTCAGGAGTCCAGTTCAGAACGATAAACGGTTTGACTGTTGGAGTCTCTGTCAGTGATGACACGAGACAGTGTTAGTGAAGAAAACCGTGAGACTGCTTAGTTCAGCAAACTAGGGGCTTTGCCAAGTTTTGAGGACTCCTTTAGAGTCAGAGTATNCCTTGCTCTTTTTTTTAATCATTAGAGATCGATTCATACGCAAAAAATCGATTCACTTTTTCTCGATAGCTGAAAATCGAAAACAAGAGACAAAAGCCTTGCTCTTTTAATCATAAGGATAATAGTATAATGCTGGATGGTGGGAACGAGAAATATGATTTCTCTTTCCTGTTACCCAGACACTGGTCAGTAATCCCACGGTGTCATTTGGACACCGTGGTAAGCAGTCCCACGGTTTTTCAGGAGTCCAGTTCAGAACGATAAACGGTTTGACTGTTGGAGTCTCTGTCAGTGATGACACGAGACAGTGTTAGTGAAGAAAACCGTGAGACTGCTTAGTTCAGCAAACTAGGGGCTTTGCCAAGTTTTGAGGACTCCTTTAGAGTCAGAGTATGATCAGGAGCAGAGTCGAGCGGACCTCTAGCTCAGGCCTTCAGCCAAAATCGAGTCGAAGTCCCTAGTCGAGTCTCTTAATAACGCGTATACCAACCCATAATTAAAACAGTCGTGTATTTTAAACCATCAGTTAATATACCATACTTTTACCGACTAACTACGCGAGTGTTTATTTGGAATTTCACAAGTAATATCCCCGATACCTGTCCTAACATCCCCACGAATGAGCGAATCACCCATGGAATTACCGCAGAAGTTAGCTGAGGATTAAGTGACCACACCAAAGGATTACAGTGCAGGAATATGTGAAAAAGGTGTAGTGTTAAAGGAGATTCCACGCACTGACGGTGATTACCGAAAGAAGAAGGAATATAAACATTCACCTGAGTTTTACCTCCGGGTAAAACTCCTTAACGTCACAGGGTGTAATGGTCTTTTTTCAATCCAATTAACTAAGTATCATGACGACTATTTTGAAAACAAATCGAATCGGTCGAATAGTTCAGGATCCCTATATCTGAGGAACCGCTCAACCGATCGAACTGATCGGTTATCACAAATTTAAGTCTCAGTAGTACCAATTAGCAGCCAGAATTTCAGCATCTTTACCTCAATAATTCTCGAGTTGTGGGGACAGTTCTGGACATACGAACACCCATGTGCACATACACATACAGACATTTCTTAAAAACATAATTTCTTCACGTTTCTGGGCATTTCTGACATTTCCGGGCATTTCCATCCAAAATTAAAAAATCTAAAAAAATCACGATTACAAAGCTTCCATTCGGAAACAAAAAGCACAGAAGTGTGCCTTGTGATGTTTACCTAATTTTACGTAAACACGTGTCAGATCACTAATAGAAAAAATAACTTCTGCCGGAAGATAAAATGTTCCACATGAAAATATTTGATGGAATGAAGCAAATTTACTTGGGGGAAATTAACCTACGTAATGGAATGAAATTTGTATTCCTACTGTCGGCACGAAAATATATAATTTATTGTACCCCAATCAAGCGACGACGTGTGGTTAGAGCTGACACCTTCGGCGAATGCAGTACCGGGTGGTGGGGGGTGGGAAGGGAACAAATGGTACAAACCCCAAAGTGTGTAGAAAAGAGAAAATTTTGTTTGCACAACAATCATTTGATGTGAGAGAACCCTATATGATTGTATGTATATTGACGACGAAGGGATATTATTTTCACAAAAAAAATTATTTCCTTAAAAATGATTAAATTTTACTAATTAATAAGACAGTTTTAGGGAAGACAATTTACGTTTTACCCTGATGAAATTATCATTTGTTTGGTGAACATCACGAGTGCTTAATGGAATAATATATACATTTTTCACATGATTCTCGGCAGAACAAATTTTTTCCATCGCCTAAGTGATTGCAGTCGAGTATTCCTGAAGTTACGGTGAAGATACTTTTACTTAATTTCAGGGGACCTGCAAAATGAGGAGTCCGTGCTTGAGTGGCTGATTGATGATGACAATCGAGAATTAGCGGATGAGATCGAGTCCGTTAATGACAGAATGTTGGAGAGACTTCTGGATGAGTCTCCATTTCTGGCTGTTTTCTTCTGTAAGTACCGCAAGACATCAAATTCACCAATCTTAAAAGACAAATTACTCATAAATTACGATTGATTCTTGAAGATGATGAAGACTGTGCAGAGTGTGACGAGATAATGGAAGCCCTGGAGCAGATCGATGGTGAAGCAGATCTGTTTGGGATTGACTTTGTCAAGATTTCAAGCCCAGAAGCTGCGGAGAAATATCAAATCATCAACGTCCCCTCATTAGTTTATTTCAGGAAGAAAGTTCCACTAATCTACGATGGAGATTTGACGCAAGCGGACAAGATTCTGCAGTGGCTGACGTCTCAGGATGTCTTCGAGATCAAGAATGAGATCGAAGAGGTCAACAGAAAGATGCTGGATAAACTATTAGAGGAGAACGAATTCGTAACTGTTTTTTTCTGTAAGTCATTTGGACATCGAAAGATTCATTGTGAGTTTGAGATGAGCAATATTAAAAGGAGATATTTGCTTTTTAGATGAACATAACAACAAGGAGAGTGCTGAAGTCAATCAAAAATTAGAAAGTATCGACAGTGAAACTGATAATCTAGACATAACGTTCGTCAAAATGGCGGATACTCGTTATGCCAGAAAATGGGGAGTTACAAAATTGCCTGCGATTGTTTACTTCCGAAAGAAATTTCCGAGTATTTACCGAGGTAAGTTAATGAAATTAAATAAAGTAGAAAAATCAAAATATAAAGGTTTAAAGACAAGGGTCAGAATATAATGACCAGAGCCTAACGGTCAGAGCATAAGGGTCAAAATATAAGGATCAAAATATAAAGATTAAAATATAAGAATCAAATCATAAGGGTCAAAATATAAGTGTCAAGGTGTAAGGGTTCAAAAATGAGGGTCAGACATACTTAAGGATGAACTGTCCTCCTCCGTCACCACCCTAACAATCAGCACGGAATAATTTAAAATAATAGCAATCAGTTCCATAAAAATTCGGACAACCCGGTCTTACGATTTGGACATGTCAAAATTGGAATAAGACCGGAGTTTTTGCAGTGATGTAGATGCACCGATCGTATAAAAAAATCAAATTTCATTATTATTCTCGGTAAAATTGTTAAATTTTCAAAGAATCATTCAAATCACGAGACGAGGATAGGGACATGTGTCAAACGAGCACGGGGAGAAATGAACGAGCGTAGGGACATGGGACTTTTCACATTCATGGACGATTATTTATTAAAAGATAGTAATTATCATAATTAATATAAATAAATTCCAATTCTGAAGGTTTTACCCTCTGATATGGAATTAAAATCATCGCATCTTCACGCTCATTTCGATAGAAATATTGGACTAATGATTTGTTCACCTTAGCTAGACGAGCATAGGGTCATTTACCTCAATCAGTTCTGAGTTACATGAAGATGCGTCGATTGGAAAAAAAAATTCAAATGCACCGATTGTTCAAGAGAAATCGTGTCCCAAAAATGTTTGCTTCACATACATTCGCATACATATACAGACATACATGTGTTCAAAAACATCATAGAATGATTCGAGGAGTCATGAAACGTGGAGATATTATAAAATTTCCACTTATGATTTGCGGGGTCATTACAATAACTTTCTCCCTTCGGGTTGAGAAGTTAATAAGTACTAAATATATCATAAGACATTTTTCGTAGGGTGGAGTAGCGCAAGACCTTTTCACCCCACTAGAATTTTTTTTTCAAATCAACATATTATTACAACTGAATTTCCAGGTGATTTGCACAAAGAAGGAGAGGTCCTCGAATGGTTGAGAAAAAATAGGTTCCGCCAGCCGGAACTCAACATATACATGTACATGCTAATAGCCATGGGAGTTATGTTTGCATTGTATACCGGTTTCCTTCTTTCGTGCTTCCGTTCAGATCCAAGCCCAGCGCCAGTTGCACATCCGAAACAAGCGTGAAGAAAATTCCATCATCTGACTCCATAAATTAATGTACTCTGTCAGCAGTATTTGTTGTTCCATAATTAATTTTTTTTTTTCATCGAAAATAAAGGAGAAAATATCGTCACGAATAAGAGGAAATCTTGTGCGACGTGCGTGCGACTTCCAAGACTTCGATTTCATCCGTACACTCAATAGAACTTCACGGATCAATTTCGTTTTTCTATATATAATGTCACTTATTTTAATTAAAATAATATAATAACATAATGTATAGGCATAACGCGAAAGAAAAAACATGTGTATTTATAATTTTTGTTGGCTTATGTTGTTGTTCGATCATTATCTCAAACTGTTATATTTAAACAAGAAACAGATTGTATCCCATGTAATATAAGGACATATATGTATCATACAATATTCAATTGTAATCGTAATTGATCTTCGGATCGACTAATTCCGTTTATCTTGCAGAAAACAGAAACTGTCATGATGTGAGTTATGATATTCTTGAAAATTTCTGATAAATGAATAAAACAGGATGTTCACCTTTTGGACCAATTTTTTAGTGTTCAACTGGCTAAAGTTGCAATAAATGAGACAAATAAAATCATGTTTTGAATTTATAGAAACTATTTTTTTTTTGCAAAAAAATCATTTTCTGACTTTTTTTGGAGGAAGAAAAATTCTGAGTAAACATTCAAATGATGCAACTCTCGTTTGATCAAAGTAGCAAGTCACTGCAAGTAGAAAACATCAAGTATTAAAAAAATCGATATTTTTCTCATTACACAGGAAAAAAACAAAAATGTTGAAAATAATTTATTTTTCTCGTTTTTATTGAAAAAATATTTATTATAAAAAAATCCAATGTAACGTTTTTCGTCACCGGTTTATTCGTGTATATATATATGCATATATATATATTGTAACGAAATTCCAGGCGAATTCGTCACCTGCGGAACTCCAGGGTATTTATGTATAGAAAAAGAGAGAGAGAGAGAGAGAGAGAGA